GATGAAGATTCTGATGGAGCACTACCATGTAGTGTGACAGTGGATGGCACATGGCAACGAAGAGGACATGCATCAAAGATTGGCATAGTTTTTGTCATGTCTGCTAGAACTGGAGATATATTAGACTATGAAGTTAAGTCATTGGTGTGTCACCAATGCAGCAAAGCCACTAAGAAACTTGGAAATGATACAGATGAGATGAATCAATGGCAGGAGACACATAAACCATTTTGTAACATAAATCATAAGGGAACCTCCGATGCTATGGAATCATCTGCAGCAGTTGATATATTCTCCAGATCAATCGAAAAGAGACATCTCAAGTATACCACATATGTAGGTGATGGTGATTCAAATTCATTTGGTAAAGTGAAAGCTGCCATACAAGACAAGTATGGAGACAGATATCCAATTGTAAAAGAGGACTGTGTGGGCCACATACAAAAAAGGATGGGAACAGCTCTTAGAAGTTACAAGAAAGGGAAGAAAGGAATGAAACTTTCTGATGGAAAAACTGTTGGTGGTAAAGCAAGGCTCACAGATCTTGTAATTGATAAAATTCAAGGGTATTATGGAAAGGCAATCAGGAGCAACAAAAATAATTTGGAAGGGATGCATAGAGCTGTTTGGGCAATATTTTGCCACACTATTGCCAACTCAAATGAAAGCCTTGAGCAACAACATCGTTATTGTCCCCAAGCCAGCGACACTTGGTGCAAATTTGTGAAAGATAAAATTCATAATACAAAATCATATTCTGAAGAAGGCAGACTACCAGAGGTGTTTCATGATGAATTAAAGCCCATTTTTACAAGACTTTCTGATAGAGTTCTCCTTCAGAGATGTCTTGCCGGCATGACACAAAATCAGAATGAGTGTGTCAATGGACAAGTCTGGGCAAGGTGTCCCAAGACCAGATTTTGTGGCAAGAGAAGAGTCGTGGTTGCAGTGTGTGAAACAATTGCTGTTTCAAATACAGGTGCTGCATCCAAAGCCAAGCTGTTTGAGAAGTCAAGGGTACACATTGGAAAAAACACATTTAGAGGGCTCAGATTTCAAGATAAAACTAGGCTACAATCAGCAGCTCAAAAGATCTCTGAGAAATACATCAGAACAAGAACAAGAAAGAGACAAGCGTCAAAAAAGAAAAGTGATATGAGTTATTTACCAGGGGGCTTTGGCACTAACCCTGAGCCAGACTTTCCAGTTGCTAAAAAAAGAAAACCATCCATAGGAAGCAAGACTTTGGGAAAAAATCAGAGAAAAGGAAATACTGGAAAACATAAAAAAACGCAAGATGAAGAGTTATCAGAGGACAGCAAAACAGAGGAACCTAAAATTCTATTTAGAGAACCTATCTTTGAAAGGATTCATGGTAACTCTTCTGGCTTATGAGCTGGAAGTCTTATTGATGTTTTAAAACTGATTTTAGATGATATAACCCGCTCTGTCAACTTGACAATTATATGAAAACTTTAACAGCCGTTTTCTCAAAATAGGAGATTTTAGTACCACACCATATTGGAGACTAAGTGTACTCCAAATCTTTTACTGTACACTCATGAAATTTTGCAGTGGCATAGGATTAGACTTGAAGAGTGCAATGAGTGGAAAAAAAATAGTTTGTGTTTCACATGGCAACCGTTGCTATGGAAAACATCCTTATTTGGAATAGAAAGCATTATGAATCATTTTTTTAAAAAGTGTTACACTCATTGCATAGAGGTTCAATAGTTTAAGCTACATGCAAGATTTCATAAGTGCATGATTAACAGTCTCTTAATAAATACATCTCCAAGTTTTACCCTTGTGTGCGCATTTCGCTAATTTGCATATTCTATTTATAGAATAAACAAATAAAAAATCCGTCAGAATGATAGTCCATTCTATGCATTCACATCAGCTAAGTTTATTTTGTCCTGCATCATAGAGCCTTTTTGGAAATTGATTTTGTTTAATGTTAGTGCTTCTAAGAAATTTAGTGTTAATTACCACCTTAAGCCACGGGAGGTGGCCTGATCATAGACAAAACACTGGTATACCATCAAAACCATGAGAAGAGTTGAATAATATTAATAATAATAATAATAATAATAATAACAATAATAATAATAATAATAATAATAATAATAATAATAATAATAATAATAATAATAATAATAATGACAAAAATAATAATAATAATGATAATAATAGTACAGAAAGAACAGAAAGGTTGCAGGCGAAATAGTAGGGGTACTAAAAACCAGCTTTTGATCGATAAAATGGTTATCAAGAACTGCAAAAGGAGAATGACAAACCTATGCCTTGCGTGGATTGACTACAAGAAGGCATATGATATGGTGCCCCACTCCTGGATCAAACGATGTCTGCAAATGTTTAAGATATCTGAAAGCGTTGGGCGACTGATAACAAATTCTATGAATTCCTGGAAGGTAGAGTTAACATCCGGTACAGATGGATTAGGAATGGTGAATATTAGGAGAGGGATTTTTCAGGGAGACAGTTTATCTCCAATCTTGTTTGTTCTATGTTTGATACCATTATCTGCATTGTTGAATGGAATGGGAGATGGATATAAGCTTGGAATAGACCGTGGCAAGATAAATCATCTTCTCTTTATGGATGATCTGAAGCTATACGCAAAAAATGAAAAAGAGCTTGACACACTTGTACAGACGGTGAGAATCTTTAGTGAAGATATCGGTATGGAATTCGGCATCCAAAAATGCGCAATGGTTAAGCTGATAAGAGGTCATATTGTGGAAAGTTCAGGCATAGCATAACCAGATGGAGCAGAGATAAGATCTTTGGAGCAAAGTGAGGGATATAAATATCTCGGCATTCTTCAAAGTGATGATATCAAGAACAACGAAATGAAACAAATGACCAAGAAAAAATACTTCAGGAGGGTAAGAAAGGTTCTAAAAGCAAGTCTTAATGGAAAGAATACAATCGAGTCAATAAATTCATGGGCAGTTGCAACAGTGCGATATAGCGCAGGAATTGTAAACGGGACAAAGGAAGACTTACGAGAAATGGACAGGAAACACGAAAACTGCTAACTGTATACCTGTGCATGCACCCACAGAAAGATGTAGACAGACTGTTTTGGAAGAGAAAAGAAGGAGGTCGGGGCTAATTAGTATAGAGGATTGTATCACTATAGAAGAGAATAGCCTTGGATATTATATAAATACTAAGCAAGAACAACTACTGAAAGAAGTGCGCAAAGACAATATCATCAAAGAGAGACAAAGCCCAGGGGAAAAGAAGAGAATGATCATTGAAAACAGAAAAGAAAGGTTTAGCGAAAAACCATTGCACTTAGAACAAACTGGATATCGGTTATGATAGATAAAAGGCAAGGATCCGCAATGTATCGAATGTGCGGGGAGCGGGATGAGACTATAAGCCACATTGTCTCGGAGTGTAAAAAACTGGCACAAAATGAGTACAAGAAATGGCTTCATGATAAAGTGGCTGCTGTGATACATTGGCATCTGTGCCACAAGTTTGGATTTCCTTGCGGATCAAAGAACAACGATCACTTTGTAGATAACACAATTGCTGTACTAGAAAATGAAGCAATTAGACTTCTATGGGACTTCTCCATTCAAACTGAGTCTAAAATCGAACATAACAGGCCAGATATAGTTGTCATTGAAAAAAAGTCAAAAACATGTTATATAATAGACGTGGCATGTCCCTTCGATACCAGAATTGAGAAAAAAGAAATGGAAAAGAAAGTGCTTACTGCGATCTGAAGTACGAGATATTCAAAGTCTATAAAGGTGAAGTCAATAAAGTTCTCATCATTCCAGTTATCATCGGAGCGTTAGGCTCAGTGACCAAAAGATTCAAAAATTACCTAGAGCAACTAAAGTGCAAAGTTTGGATTGAAGTAGTGCAAAGGACCTGCCTTCTGGGAACATCAAGAATACTAAGGAAAGTTTTGGACACGAAATAGAAGAACAAACTAGCTCCCCTACGAAGCCCGCTACGCGGGCTTGCCAGTGACCCTACGGTAGAGTACATAGATTAGCCTCGGAAAAGACAAGAATTTTCTTAAAACCCCCTGTGAATGATAGTAAAATTAGCCTCGGTAAAGACAAGAATTCTTTCGAAGCCCCTAATGAGTATGCAGATTAGCCTCGGAAAAGACAAGAGGTGTATCAAACTCGATTTGAAAAAAATTGGCTCCGCACAGGTCACGTGATAAAAAAATTACTCGCACTCCTGTGACTATCGCTAGTCAGGGGGTCGCCTGAAATAGAGAAGGGGTAGAGGCTCCCCCCTTCCTAGCGATAGTCACAGGAGTGCGAGTAATTTTTTTATCACGTGACCTGTGCGGAGCCAATTTTTTTCAAATCGAGTTTGATACACCTCTTGTCTTTTCCGAGGCTAATCTGCATACTCATTAGGGGCTTCGAAAGAATTCTTGTCTTTACCGAGGCTAATTTTACTATCATTCACAGGGGGTTTTAAGAAAATTCTTGTCTTTTCCGAGGCTAATCTATGTACTCTACCGTAGGGTCACTGGCAAGCCCGCGTAGCGGGCTTCGTAGGGGAGCTAGTCTTCCGTTAATTGAAAGTTGCTTCAAAACATTTGGAAGCCCAGGTCTATTCGTGTTCCTCGTTTAGATATTTTAATGGGTTACCCCCTAAGTCTCCTGTTTTAATTTTCCATAGAATTTCATGGTAAGACTTCCCAACTTTACTTATTTGTTTACTCCTCTGACAAATAAAATTAAAATTGAATCTATCCTGAAAATCAAAGTAAAAAAACAATGCCCTCTTACATTCTTTCAATTTAATAAGGAATGCAAGCAAAAAGTGTAATATCATACGGCAAGCAGGCAAGCACATTCTAAGCATGACAAAAGACAAACATAATTAATCCAATCCATAGTCACGCCTACTGTGAGTATCATATACTATTGGCAAGAGCAGGAAATAATTGCTCGAGGACAAAGTATTATTTACTTGCAGCAACAACCCTATTGAGATAAGAGCTATTTTCGTGTAGGAAGATAATGCTTTATTACCTTGATTGTAATTCAGTAAATCCTTTTAGAAAAGTAAACCCAAACTTAATTACTTGCTGGCTCCAGATACCCATACTTGCGAAATTCCTAATAGAATCAATCCAATAAGTAGTTCCTTGATTATTATGATTACCAATTAGCAATATCATGGCTTTCATCACCATCTGAAGCCCTTTGAAATCAAGGTTAATAGCACTCTTGACTTATTCAGAAGCTAATCTTACTATCCCATTTTGGGGCCATAGGGTGCCCAAAGAGCGGGATTTACTGGGAGCTACTCTTCCGTTTATTAAAATGTGCATATCAATTTGATACATAAACGGTTGCAATATCAAGGCAATACAGAAAGTTGCTTCAATACATTTTGTAAGCCACGATCTATTTGGGGTCCTTGCTTAAATACTTTCACGGGTTACCCTCTTTATTTCTCCTGCTTATTCTAATTGCAATGTTTTGAAACTTCCATTTTCTTTTATCTCTCGGTGAATCGTGGTGCTCGTTTAAATATCTTGCAGGCTTATCTAAAAGCTTTGTTAAATATTCTGAATTCTACTTTAAACTTGACAGCTACATACTTCTGCCAGCCCCCATCATTTTCACGAGTTAATCCTATAATTTCTCCTATTTAGTCAGAATCAAATTTTTAAGTTGTCCAATCATACACTCTTAGCCCTCGTCGACTTATAGGGCGCTTATAAATATTTTCTAAGGCCATTCTTAATGCTGTAATGTTCATTTTGAATCCAGCGTGAATATCTTTAACATAGCATTTCGTTCAATTCTTGTTCATTTGTGATGCTGTTTTAAGATATAATTTGGGGCCACCTTTAAAGTTCCTCTGTTTATTTTGAATCAAACATTAACGTTTTCCAACAATAAATTCCTGTTAGCCGTTATTGGTCCATGGTGCTCGTTTAGATATATATCATCTAAAAATTTCTTAAGCATCAAAATTCCTTAAAAAATGTCGATTCATAAAAGAATTAACGACTCCTCTTCTAAACTCCAAAGAGTTATAGAGTTATTACGCAGTTCTATACATTTGAGGTCCACATATCAAATCTCCGTCACAATTAGCTTTTGAAACACTGCAGGAACAAAGCAGTTAAGAAATAGAAAGATAAAAAACAGCCAAGTTTCGTGCATCAGAAAGGAATCTTACTCTAACAACAAATTAACAAAATACAATTTACGGACAACAGCTAATCTAAATAACTTTAGTCCGTTTCTCCACAGTCAAGTTTTTTCATGTTTCTTTGTTCGATTTAACGACAACATAAATGCCACGAATTTCGTTTCGAAGGTCCGAGAATCACGTCTGCGTCGTAATCATTGCTTGAAACGCTATTTGATCTAGATGAAGAACAAAAAAAATAATTAAGATGTTATTCTATGGTTAATGAAAGCACGTTCTAAGGAAATCGATGGTCATAATGCTTTGTAAAAATTTCAGAAAATTTGTTCGCCTCGAGAGCCTAGCCAGCCCTTCAAGCGGCTGGTTTTTAGTGTAATTTCGTCGAAATAAGCGCAAAATCATTTGAAATTGCTCTTTTTTAGAGGGTAATACAGCCAATCTATTTTTTTTAGCACGAAACTACGCGAGAGGTAAAAATTTCGGAGAAACACGTTCGCGGCGGGTTTAGCTACCCATTTTTAGCCACCGGTTTTTAGTGTAATTACATCAATTTAAAAATAAATTCATTTGAAATGGTTCTCCCTATTCTGATGGCAATAGAGCCAATCCATTTTCTTTTTAGCACAAAGCTACGGAAGAGGTAAAAATTTTGTAGAAACACGCTCGCGGCGGGTTTAGCTATCCATTTTTAGCGTCCGGTTTTTAGTGTAATTTCATCAAATTAAAAATAAATTCATTTGAAATGGTTCTCTCTATTCTGATGGCAATAGAGCCAATCCATATTCTTTTAAGCAGAAAACTACGCAAGAGGTAAACAATTCAGAGAAACACGTTCGTGGCGGGTCTAGCGACTCCTTTCAGCAACCGATTTTTAGTGTAATTTCACCCAAATAAGCATAGAGTCATTTGAAATGGTTTCTATAATGATTAATTTACAATTCCGAAAATGATGCAGGCACAATCTACCGTAACAATCCAGCTTCCTTTCAGTACAAAACCACGAAAAGAGGTGGAAATTCGCCGTTCGCGGCGGGGGTCTAGCAGTAAGCGACCGGTTTTTAGTGTAATTTCATCAAATTAAGCATAAAATCATTTGAATTTGTTCTTGTTAAGCGAGCAATACAGCAAATCCATTTTCCTTGAAGGACAAAACTGCGAAGAGGTAAAACATTAAGAGAAACACGTTCGTGGCGGGTCTAGCGACCCCTTTTGGCAACCGGTTTTTAGTGTAATTTCACCCAAATAAGCAAAAAGTCATTTGAAATGGTTTCTAGAATGATTTATTGATAATTCCGAAAAAATGCTCTCAAAAAGCTAGAAATAATTTTCACTCGAGGGGCAGGCAAATCCAACCTCAGTCTCAGCGGGAAAATCGCACAAAAAGTGAAATTTTAATCGAAAAATACTCACTTGTTGTACCAAAAAGTCAGCGAATCCGATCGTTTATCTACAAAAAAGGAAGGCGGTTAGAAAAGGTTGCTGCAAAGGATTCTCGATAGGCATAAAAAGTTGGGGGCTGGCGGGATTACATAATTCGCATTACAACGGGTTTCCTATGAAAATCAAATTTTCTTGCATCAAGAATAAACAGCAGGAATAATCTACCACAATTCTTCATACTCTGATTGCAATAAAGCCAATCCAGTTTCCTTTTAGCACAAAACCACGAGAAGAGGTAAACATTTTTCGTTCGCGGCGGGGTTCTAGCAGCCGGTTTTTAGTGCAATTTTATCCAAATGAGCAGGAAATCATGTCAAATAATTTAAATTTCGAAAACACGTAAGAACAACAGCGCTTACCTGTATTCACATGCCATCGATTCTGATGCCAGTGAAGAAGGGGATCAGCCAGCAGCAATCGCAAAACCAAAAAACGGGCAGCAGCGGGTGTACCGTACGTACGTAGCTACTAAAACGAAGAAAAGGAAGATCGTCAAAACCACGAATTACATGGCTCTTGCAAATGAAATAACAACAAACGGGGTATCGATCGACAAAAAGGAAAGGAAAATAGCTAGCGAGAAAGTTTATAATAAAAAGCTAGCGAGACTCACCTGCAGCTGTAGCACTGTAGCACTGTAGCACTGTAGAACACGACCGTCGACAACCGCTTCGAGTTCGAAAAGGAATGCCAACCAGCAGTGCACGTAGATTTATTATCATCCAATTCCAAATCACCAAAAAATTATGAGCACATTTGAAAAGCCTCCTTTGAAATGGAACGATTGCTGGAGGAAGAAGTTTTGAAATCTTTTGTAGAGACCAAGAGAAAAGAGAGAGAAAGAACCTTTAGAAACGGGACAATGGGACAAAGAGCTCGGAGAGCACTAATCGTGATGGAGAGGTTTTGGAGCGATTTTGGAACGAACCCGGGAGAAAAGGTACAAATATCTATAAAAAGGGAGGAAAAACGAAAAAAAGAAACCCCCTACGCAGTAGTTTGAGGATCCAGGACGAAGTGGAAAAAAGAATTTTGAAAATCGGCAAAGCGGTTTTGGCTCGTAACCTTTTGAAGCGCTGGGTGGTTTTGATGGAGGGATCCGCTCGTGCATTGTGTGGGGCTTTTGTTTGAGGAGATTAGAGAAAATTTGCATATCCGCATATTAGTATTAGTAGACTAGCTCCCCTACGAAGCCCGCTACGCGGGCTTGCCAGTGACCCTACGGTCGAGTACATAGATTAGCCTCGGAAAAGACAAGAATTTTCTTAAAACCCCCTGTGAATGATAGTAAAATTAGCCTCGGCAAAGACAAGAATTCTTTCGAAACCCCCAATGAGTATGCAGATTAGCCTCGGAAAAGACAAGAGGTGTATCAACCTCGATTTGAAAAAAATTGGCTCCGCATAGGTCACGTGATAAAAAAATTACTCGCACTCCTGTGACTATCGCTAGGAAGGGGGGAGCCTCTACCCCTTCTCTATTTCAGGCGACCCCCTGACTAGCGATAGTCACAGGAGTGCGAGTAATTTTTTTATCACGTGACCTATGCGGAGCCAATTTTTTTCAAATCGAGGTTGATACACTTCTTGTTTTTGCCGAGGCTAATCTGCAAACTCATTGGGGGCTTCGACAGAATTCTTGTCTTTACCGAGGCTAATTTTACTATCATTCACAGGGGGGTTTAAGAAAATTCTTGTCTTTTCCGAGGCTAATCTATGTACTCTACCGTAGGGTCACTGGCAAGCCCGCGTAGCGGGCTTCGTAGGGGAGCTAGTCTTCCGTTAATTGAAATTTGCTTCAAAACATTTGCAAGCCCAGTTCTATTCGTGTTCCTCGTTTAGATATTTTAATGGGTTACCCCCTAAGTCTCCTGTTTTAATTTTCCATAAAATTCGATTCATTTATTCCTGGGTGACTCGTGGGGCTTGTTTCATTTCCTAGACCCTTTCTCTCGATGCCTAGAACTCTCATGTTTAATATGAATCCAACGTGAACTACAGAACTTTCTTCAGTGTACTTGAAAGTTGTTGCTATTATCTATTATAATTGTGTCATACAATGGTTGTAACTTTTTATCATTGAGTATTGATATATTTAAATGAAGATGGTGAAATAGAAAGTAAATCAAGAGCTCAGAGAAAGAAGTAATGCCTTGTTTGGTTGAGATTGTTAAGAATGTGTATTCACAATCCAGAAATGTTGTTTATTGTAAACCACAATAGTTTGAAATTTCAGAAACCTTATTTATAAAACTTCCCTTCTCTGAGCTTAAGATGTTGCCGGGTGCATTAGTAAGGAAGCCCAAACACCACGGCAAGGAGCACCCATTGTTTGGGGTTTCCTTTTTGTGCAGAAGTGCAGTTAACAGCTTGTTAGTTTTGGATTAAATCTTTGTTTACAAAACACAAGTGTAGAGAAATTTTTGGACATCCAAATTTTATCTTTTGGAAAAGTACCTTTGGGATAAGCTGCTGCAGTTTCTACTGAGAAGGAAACACATGTTCCCATAGGCAACATCGAGGAACATGCAAAAGCGTAACTCGCTGGAGCAAAGAATCAACATATGCTGGATTAGAGAAAGCTGAAAGGAAAGGAAAAGGAATAGGGGATTGCAAGTAAAGAAGGGATGAAACTTTACCTGCTACATCACCACAACTGGCTGAGCTCATTAATCAGAGTTGTCTATGCTATAGTGACAGGGAAGGATCTGTGAAATCAACTGCTTTGTGTGTTGATGTAATTGAGAATCCATATGTCACCTTGGGCACGTGGCTCAAATGATGAGTACTGTGTCAGTATGGTGAAATGTAACAGGATAAGTCCCAGAAGGACAGGTAGTGATATAAAAATAGCAAAGTGATGATAATATAGGAATAAGATACATGGAAGTATACAACAAAATGCAAAACATACTTAACCTGAATGTGGCACAATGACTAATAAAGACTGACATGTGTTGTGGTAACAGGGAAGTGCCCTTTGCAACAATATTGTGCCATAATAGGTTATTTCTACTGCAAGACTTCAGGGTAAACAATGTTGGTTGTTTTGTTTCCCTGTGGTAACATTACTTTGATACCTGCAAATGTTTTTGCACGTGACATGGCAACATATAGCTGACCGTGACCAAAAACAGGCTCAGGGAGGTAAATACCTACATACCTTAAGGACTGTCCTTGAGCTTTGTTGATTGTGAGACAGTATGCTAGTCTCACTGGGAATTGCACTCTTGCAATGTTGACTGGCAGAGCTGTATCTTGGGAGGACATGGTGATTCTGGGTATCAAAACATACTGTCCCCTGTACTCATTTGCAATGATTTCTGCACAGATTACATGACGTTGCAGATCTCGTACTATCAGACGGGTGCCGTTGCATAGCCCCCTTTTAGGGTTGATGTTTCGAAGCAGGATGATTGTTGCACCAACCTGTGAATGAAAATTTAAAGATATAAAGGAAAAACATTCTTAAAAATATAAATAATAATTGAAAGACAGTGCAGCATCTTTGTGTTGTTGTTCAAGTACATAAGAAGAGATGATTATCAAATGTGTTATTGATGTTAAGAATGATATCATATGAAAAATGTAAGTCAACAAATAAAAATTACCTTTAGTTGTAATTTGTGGAGTGGCATTCCACCAGGTGTTTGCGCATTAAGGAACTCAACTGGGTATGCTTCTGCTTCAAGTGGATCATCAGTGACGACTCTGTCTGTACTGAGGTATGTGCGTACAGGTGTTTGCATCCTGTTAAGTACCAGTTCATTAATCTGGTGTGAGAACTGGTTTTTTGGTGTCAAGCAGCAACGCTCTGACATTGTTTCAGGATCAAGCATCAGGTTAGGCTGTCCTGGCTGTGCAAGTGGATAGAGAAAATTCACCATTTCGTTGAGTGAAGGCACCAAGATGTTCTGTGGCAAGGTGACTTGATCACGATCGTCATGAGGTTCCACACCATTGCCAATCCTCAAGAGCCAATCTGCAAACTCTCTGTACATGTCATCACGAATGGCTCTCATGTTGATTACAAGTTGAAACTTGTGGAAATGGTGCCAAAGATGTGAATTCTTCAAGCTCTCCTGGACAATTCTTTCTCTACCTGCTCTAAGAACAACTGTGAGAACTTGTCTAAAATCACCTCCAAGAAACATGTACTTACCTCCAAATGGTCTGTCAATTTGTGTAATGTCTCTAAGGAGAATATCAACTGCTTTCAAAGCATTTGCTGGGATCATTGAAGCTTCATCCCAGATAAACAGAGTGGTTTCTAAGAGCTTCTGAGCCCTGGTACTTTGGCGTTTAATGTTACAAGTAGAATCAGGTAATAATGGGATAGGGATTTGGAAAGTGGAGTGTGCTGTAGCTCCATTAATAAGCAATGTGCTAGCTATCCCTGAATATGCAACACATTTGACTTTTATACCTAACCCTTGAAGGTTATGTACTAATGTGTTATAAAGAAATGTCTTACCTGTTCCTGCTGGTCCATCTACAAAGTAGCAATTCTGTTGTGATGCAGTTTGTACTGCCTCCATGACTGTGTTGTGAATATGAAGCTGGTCGTTGTTGAGAAGTTCAAGCATTTGTGCTCCTCGTTCCCTTTCATGGACTATGTTGATATCTTCAGCTTCATCTTGTGGGTGAACATAGTTTTGTGGAAGCTGTGGAAGTTCTGAGAATTCAATGTTTCTGATTGATTTTCCATGAACTCTCAAATTGCGATCGATGTCCCAGAGGCAAAGATACATATGTCGGTCTTCAAAGGCTACATTTGGGTCTTCAAGGTGATCATGCCGGACAAAATCTTCAGACATTGCCTGTTTGAACTCATCAAAAAGAGCTCTGAGCTCAGCTGGCATCTGAAACAGCATCAGTGTGGCAAATAGCTGTCTCATCTGTGAAGGCATATTCATGACTGTAGCCTCTCGCAGACAACGCCTATGTTCAGCATCATCTTGGAAGAGTCCCATTGCACTTGCTGCACCCTTGAATGTGTCATGCAGCTCTCCCTCAATGGTTCTTATGTCCTCAAAGGATGTAGCCCCTCTGCGATGAAGCAACAGCAATCGAAGTGAATACTTTTCTGGATCTGTAGGCTGAACTTGGTACAGTCTCCCAATGGTGGGCCCTGCTGCACGCTGTCTTCGTCTCCATGCTTTTGTTCTTTTATCAAATGTATAATGCACTGGAATTTCAGTATAAAGATACTGATGAGCATCTGCATCCACTTGATTTAGTTGAAACCATGCAGTTAATGTTGTGTTTGGGTTTACATTCAAAACTCTTTCCTCGTTTCCTTCTTGGAAATAGATGTTCTGTTGTAGAGGAAGATGCACTGCAAGGCGTATGATGATGTGACTTTTGTCATGCATTTTGTACTGCATGATCCTGAACATTGCCTGATGTGGGCCAACATATCTTGCATTAAGATACTGGAGAATCTCATCATGGTGTAAAGTGTTTTCTTTTATTTCAACATGTGCACAGTCATTGCCTTTGTGAATGTATTTGAAGATGTACTTGACGCTTTTCACAGTGCTGCAAACTTCTACATTCATGTGGCAGTTGAATTTCATGAGAAGGTGAGGATTGTAAGGAACCACCCAAGAGTCGTTAACCAAGTGATGGCGTAGCTGTGCATGGTGTTGTCCTCGTCGTCGATACTCTGGATATCCATTCACCTCAAAGAGAGTTACCTGTGCTAGTGGCTTTGGAAAGTTCTTCTTACACTCACCATTTTGCATGCAAACACAGTGTGGATTGAGGTCACCACATGGTCCATGGATCATGTGTTTCTTGACCGTTTCATGCAAGTTTGGAAATTGTTGTGGATCTGGAATCTCTGCAGACACTAACCTGTCAGCATCTTCTGCCACACGTGGTTTATCAGCATCTGAGAAAAACAGAACCATGTGTGCATGCGGCAAACCTCTTTTCTGGAATTCAATTGTGTAAACATAGGCAACCACATGTCCTAAGACATTTCTTTCAAGAAGGTCACACAAAAGTTCCTTGAGTTTTAGGTGGAAGACACGACTGATAACATCTGGCCTGTCATTAGATGTCTGGTGTGGAAGAAGATTTTCTCTCACCTCAGGCCAGTTTGGATTTGCAGTCATGGTTAAGAAGATGTCAGGTTTACCAAATTTTGTGACAATGGTCATTGCATCTTGATAGTTTTGCTGCATGTTTCTTGGACTTCCTTGAAAGGTTGAGGGCAGAATGACAATGCGGCCAACATTTGCATCTTCAGCTTCTGCTCGTCTGTGTATGTGGTCTACAAGACCTTGATATGATTCTACCCTCAGTTGTGCTTGATGGGTTCTGATGTATGTCAGTTCATTTCCTTCAATTTTGGTGTATGCATCAACCAAATATTGTTGGAAAAGCAACTTTGCACGGTGAATGGTTGAAAAACCATCACGAAAAGCAACCCTGTAAGCATAAAACTCATTTAAAGAGATACGCTCCCTTTGATTAGGACGACGCCCTGCTGGTAGCTGCTGATTGCGTCGAAGTTCAATATTCCACCCAAATTCTCCATGGAAAAACAACAGTGGATATGTCATTGGGTCTGCATTTGGAGATGTTGCCTTTATTTTTGTTGTATTGTTGTTGGCAGTATGGTATATAACTATGTCTCTGTTAGCAGGATCAGGGGGTGCCCCCTCATCTCCAACATAAACTGCAGCTATTTCTGTGGCTGTAGGATTATCATAACGTCGATCTTGAAATGGTCGCTGTGCTATGATCATTCTCACTGGTGGTAATGGCTGATTGTTTGCCACTGCATTGTTGCGTTCTCTTTCAAGAACTTGTCCCATGTTTTGGAACTGTCTGGCAAATGGATTAACAGCCATAAGTTCATCCTGTAGCAACCGCAAGATGTCAGGTTGTAGGTTTGCATTTCTTGGATCATGAATCCTTTCCTGCAATGCTTGATTTGTATCCAGTATATATAACTGTGAATATTGTGGACGTTGACCTTCAGGTGCATCTGCTGCACTTGTCAAGTGGTAGGTTTGCCCATGAATAGTGACAACACGGGGTCCTCTACCAGGAAGTTCATTGACTGTGGCATTCCAGGAAGCCATTGCCAAAGCAGCATTGTAATGACGAATGTTTTCCAAAAAATGCCTTGATTGTGGTGTTTCTGCACTGAATAAGTCAATAATATTTGCTGAAGGTAATGTAACTGGTGGTAGAGTGACTTTACCTTGAAAGCAACATTTGGTGAAAACATTATTTGCGTTCTGCTCACCATTGAAAAATTTGCCATGACAATGATGACATGCATTTTCCATCATGCCAATGTAATGTGGCTGTGGTAGGTTGAAAAACAGCTGTGGGTGCTGATTGGCATTCAACTGCTCAGCAGGTTGGTTAGGTTGGTGAAGTTCAGCTTCATTATTGCCCTGTTGATCTGGAAGCTCATTTTGTGCAATTTGAAGTTCCAATGCAGCTAATTCATTTACTGCATCAGCAATTTGTTGTTCATCTGCATTTGGTGGTTCATTGTTGTTACGACGGTTCTGATAATATTGTCTTCGCCTTTCTCTGGCTCTTTGCCCATTAAAGTTTAGCCGACGGCGACGTGGCATATCTCAAGGCTGGGGATTACAAAATTACCCAATTCAACCAAAGTAAAACGGTGTGAGAGTTTAGTAGTAAAATCAATATGGCTGACATTTAATATAAAAAAACATGTAATTTAATTTGGATTTGAAAAAATTTAAAATTGGAAAGGAATGTTGCACAGACCTTTCAGCCAGGGCCTATATATGACCTTTTTGCAGATGGTAAACGACTGTGAGGAAGGCCAATGAAAAGAAATTAACTTTATTTGCCACACTGAAACCACGGTTCTATTTGGTTTCTGAGATGGTTTCCATAGCTTACTGTAATTTTCACTTAGCCCTTTAGTTGCCAAACGTAAATTTACTTTCCCGTAATCGAAAATTACAAGAAGAATAGACATTAGCACGAAAAGCAGGAAAACAGAACAAATGCACATAGGGTGCAAGTGATTTTCACAAAAAATTTCCGCAAGTTTATTGTTGATTGTACCTCAGTAAATAAATAATGTAAAATGTAAACAATGGAAAGGTTGTGGCCTTATTGAAAACAGACAAAAAGCAGGTAAAAAACGACACACTTCCCTGCTTTAAAGTAGCCAGAATATTAGAAAGTTGCATACTTTAACTTAACCCCAAAATTTCGAAATGGAAGTAAACGTCTCTTGCATCCTGTAACTTGTTGTTTCGTTTCAAGTGTAAGCCCAACAGAAACGATCTGTTCTAGGTCACCGTTATGGATGTACATAAAATAGAACCAGTGCAAATCCAATTTGCGAAAAATTCCAAAATGAGGCCCAACAAGTCCCACAATGCAATGGACACTTTAAAAAATTCGATAGTTTTTTAAAGGTGTAAAAGGTTAAACTACTTTTAACATCTCATCTCATTAAAAGAACATGCTCATGCCCCTAAAGATTATAAAAATCCTTTCTTTCCAATGAAGAAATTGTTTTCTTAGTACTGTTGCAAAACAGTGGTAATCCTATATAGTTCTGTCCTTCCTACGGCACTGCACATACACTGTGCTACTGAAGCCTACCCTCTTGCCCCTTGGTCGTTGCGGCGTCCTTGTATCACGCAAGGAGGATGTTTGATATGGTAAAATAAGCATCGTTCCTGCTTTCCTGTCCTATCTTTTTTGGCAATAAGATCATTGAGGAATATATATCGTTAACTGATACAGGTTAAATGATTAATTAATATTAGTAGATTTCAGTGATACCCCCAGGTCCGAAGAACAGAGACATGAAAAGATAAAACAAAATGAACATGCATATTTGTAAAAAATCTAAACGTAAAATGCATATATATACAACTAATTAATGTCTTTTACTTCCAATAAAAAGTCAGAATCATCCATGTCTTTTCTTATTTCTAATTCGCAAAAAAGCTCTTCGAGATTTTTCGTTAGAGCCTCAAGGCGGCTACAGGCACTTTGCAGCTTTGCTCTGCAAATTCGAATGTATCTTTCTCGGTTGGTATCCCCCTTCTCAATTTCGGAAAGGGATGTTTTGCATCCGTCAAGGAAGGATGCCAGCTCCTTTAATTTCTTTTCAATGTTACATTGAGCCATATTGCAAGCTATATCAACGGATAAATTTTAGGTAAATGAAAGTTCAAACTGTATGTAACCATCATATAACTATACTCTTTTGTATAAGAACCAGTAAATTTAAATTAAGGCTGACTGTTCTTAATTTTTTCGGCAATCTGAGGCTGGATTGTTCTAAATTTGTTCTTAAATTAATTGGGTGTTCTTAGTTTGTTCTTAACTTTTGACAAATTTTGAGGCTCCTGTTCTATTAAGATTGTTCTTATAAAAATGAGCGTAAGGGAAATAGACTGCCTAATAATTTCAATGGCACTGTAACATTTGATGGTATTGCAACTAATAATTTTCACACAGACTTCATAATGAACATGCAAAAACTTTGGAAAATGGGGTATTTTAAATACAACTCGACTGGTTCACAGAACCAAAGAAACAGGTACGGATGTGCCCCTGGCATGCATTATAAATGTGAAAGGTTCCGGTGTTACAGTTAAATTCGTTTAATGGTTCATTTCATAAACTTCACAAATACAACGAATTCGAAAGGAATCAATGAGTAGAAGTCCTGATCATTTAGAATTATCACTAAACAGCAGAAAGTCAAAACTAAAATTAAAGAATTAACTACAGATATGATTTTTTTGTCGAAATGGCGTTTCCAATGGCATAATGTGAAATTTCTCTAGGGGGTGGAAAACTAAATTGTTTTGAGTTAGAGATGGCTTGCTTCGCATTAAGATGGAAATAAGGCATTCTTGTAATTGTTTTTGATGAAATTCCATTTTGGGTCAATGTTTGTTAGTGGGGTGGTTCCGCATCTACGCAGCCGTTTGGTTACGCCACCGTTAAATACATAGCGGAATTGTAAAATAATTATGAAACTTATTTTAAATCAATAAAGAAAGTCAGATCTTTAAAACAGTCATACGCAATATCAACGGAAAAATCCTGAGTAAGTAAAGGGTTTCATGAAATTATTTTGTCGATACGAAAAATTTGACTATATGATGAAATAAGGAAGTTGCAAATCAATGAATAAAAGGTACTTACAATTTTGAATGCGTCGAAGTTTAGATGCGATTAGAGATATGCGAATGTGCAATGTGGGGTTGTTATTCGACAGCCAAGTTTTATGAGGCGAAATGGTCATGTGATCATTGAAAGACACTTGCCCTTATTTGGATAATGTGATCATGTGATTATGGAAAGACACGTACCCTTATTTGGAAGTCATTTCGGAAGAGGGGAGTTATTGGGGAACGGCGATTAATTGCCAAACGTAAATAGTAATTAACTAATCAGCGAACTAACTAATTAAAATGATACTATAAATTCAAAAGCCCGTTAAGAAATTGATCTACATATTGAAAAAAGATGAAAAGGGGGTTAAGAAAACGAAAAATTAAAAGTTACTGTCTCTCTCACTTTCTTCTGCAAACTCTGTCTTGGTTTCCTGCAAAGATGCAGGAATACCTCATCCCCGGCCCTGTGAAAAAAAATAAAAATTGTTGAAGGTAACCAGTCTTGAAAAAACAATGTCAAGAAAACAGCTAAAAAATAAATGTAAAAAGACGAATAGATCTGTAGAAAGGGAGTTTTTATACCAAATGCTAAACGTACCTTAATTCTCTTATGAGATTCCGCCGACGATCTACGATTTTGAATTTTATTTTTCTGCTTAGGGCAAATGCCCTTGCAGTTTCTATTTTCAATTTGCGAATACTGCCGTCATTGTACGGGAGATTCTGTAAAAAAGAATTTGTGAAAAAATTGTTGAGTGCCTTTAATTTGTGAATATGGAAAGTGTTACAACGATATAATTCGTAACGTTTAGAGGATCCTTTTGCATAGTGTTATAGAAATAAGTGGCAATGACTCATATAAGAAAAAAGGAATTATTCTTAGCAAAGCAAATAGCAACTAATTTCTAAAGATAATATTTGAGATAGGAAGAGTACTTACTTTTACCTCTCCTCTAAAATGTACAACGACCGTTTCTTTGTCTTTGTTCATTTTTGGTAACGGTGGACTTTTTGGTTCAGAGAAGGAAAGATTGTTTCTTAAATAGGAATACAGGATAATAGGCACTCATAAATAAAGGAGGGTTTAAAAGAATGTAAACAATTTGTCGTGGAGGAGTGATTTTGCTTGCTTTGAATTGATGGAAAAATACTTGTTGTAGTAGATTTGGCAGCATTTTCTTTAGAAAAGTAATGGACATGCCAAAATCATCTAGCCTTCAAATCAGATTGATCAGCCTTTGTATTTCTAGTAAATCCTTGTACTTGTTGGATATTGTACCCTTCATGTTAAGATTTCTCAACCTTAGCTACCTGTTTACTCTCTCTACAAATTAAATCAAAATGAATCACCATGAACAATGCCCTCCTACACGCTTACAATTTTATATGGAATCTGAACACCAAATGTAATATCATACAGCAAGCACGCAAGCGCAATTTCAATGTGGCGACAGCCGAACATAACTAATCCAATTAATAGTCACGCCTTCTGTGAGTAGCATTTACTATTGGCATATAAACGAAAATCAACCCTTGAGGAAAAAGTATTCATTTAGAGCAACAAACCTATAGAAATATGAGCTATTTTCGTGTGGGAAGATAATGTTTTATTACCTTCACTGTAATTTTGTAAATCCTTCTAGAAAAGTAAACCCGAAATTGATTACCTGTTGACTATCAATACTTGGGAAATTCTTAGCAGAATCAATCCAATTACCATTAGCAGTATCATAGCTTTCATGGCGATCATGCAAGATCAAGGACGCAATATACATTCTGGTAATGGGCAGATTTACCCCCTAAGTGCGTTCTTTATTCAAAATTGGCTTATAACTTTCTGTCAGCAAATTTCAGTTGGCCCCTTGTACCTATCAATTCATTTTTCATTTCGCAATAAACATTATCTGGCTTTACCTTCCTTTAAGGCTGGTAATGGCAGATTTACCCTTTAAGTGCGTTCTTTATTCCAAATTGGCTTATAACTTTCTGTCAGCAAATTTCAGTTGGCCCCTTGTACCTATCAATTCATTTTTCATTTCGCAATAAACATTATCTGGCTTTACCTTCCTTTAAGGCTGGTAATGGCAGATTTACCCTTTAAGTGCGTTCTTTATTCAAAATTGGCTTATAACTTTCTGTCAGCAAATTTCAGTTGGCCCCTTGTACCTATCAATTCATTTTTCATTTCGCAATAAACATTATCTGGCTTTACCTTCCTTTAAGGCTGGTAATGGCAGATTTACCCTTTAAGTGCGTTCTTTATTCAAAATTGGCTTATAACTTTCTGTCAGCAAATTACAGTTGGCCCCTTGTACCTATCAATTCATTTTTCATTTCGCAATAAACATTATCTGGCTTTACCTTCCTTTAAGGCTGGTAATGGCAGATTTACCCTTTAAGTGCGTTCTTTATTCAAAATTGGCTTATAACTTTCTGTCAGCAAATTTCAGTTGGCCCCTTGTACCTATCAATTCATTTTTCATTTCGCAATAAACATTATCTGGCTTTACCTTCCTTTAAGGCTGGTAATGGCAGATTTACCCTTTAAGTGCGTTCTTTATTCAAAATTGGCTTATAACTTTCTGTCAGCAAATTACAGTTGGCCCCTTGTACCTATCAATTCATTTTTCATTTCGCAATAAACATTATCTGGCTTTACCTTCCTTTAAGGCTGGTAATGGCAGATTTGCCCTTTAAGTGCGTTCTTTATTCAAAATTGGCTTATAACTTTCTGTCAGCAAATTTCAGTTGGCCCCTTGTACCTATCAATTCATTTTTCATTTCGCAATAAACATTATCTGGCTTTACCTTCCTTTAAGGCTGGTAATGGCAGATTTACCCCCTAAGTGCGTTCTTTATTCAAAATTGGCTTATAACTTTCTGTCAGCAAATTTCAGTTGGCCCCTTGTACCTATCAATTCATTTTTCATTTCGCAATAAACATTATCTGGCTTTACCTTCCTTTAAGGCTGGTAATGGCAGATTTACCCTTTAAGTGCGTTCTTTATTCAAAATTGGCTTATAACTTTCTGTCAGCAAATTTCAGTTGGCCCCTTGTACCTATCAATTCATTTTTCATTTCGCAATAAACATTATCTGGCTTTACCTTCCTTTAAGGCTGGTAATGGCAGATTTACCCTTTAAGTGCGTTCTTTATTCAAAATTGGCTTATAACTTTCTGTCAGCAAATTACAGTTGGCCCCTTGTACCTATCAATTCATTTTTCATTTCGCAATAAACATTATCTGGCTTTACCTTCCTTTAAGGCTGGTAATGGCAGATTTGCCCTTTAAGTGCGTTCTTTATTCAAAATTGGCTTATAACTTTCTGTCAGCAAATTTCAGTTGGCCCCTTGTACCTATCAATTCATTTTTCATTTCGCAATAAACATTATCTGGCTTTACCTTCCTTTAAGGCTGGTAATGGCAGATTTACCCCCTAAGTGCGTTCTTTATTGAAAATTGGCTTATAACTTTCTGTCAGCAAATTTCAGTTGGCCCCTTGTACCTATCAATTCATTTTTCATCTCGAAATATACATTATCTGGTATTTAAAGCAGGTAATTTGCTGATTTAACCCCCTAAGTGTTAGCAACTTTCAGTCGGTCCATCATTACCCCTTTTGTGAAAATCCTATTGGTTTATCTGATAATCCCAAGAAATCCTTTTGTTTTAGGCAAAATCTCGCACGTTACTTGCAAGAGCGAATTGCCCCCCGATGTAAACAAATCCAAAACAACTTTAAGTAAACATTCTCTGGTTTTTAGTGTAATTTCATCAAATTAAGCATAAAATCATTTGAATATGGTCTTATTAAGCGACCAATACAACAAATCAATTTTCCTTGAAGGACAAAATTTCATGGGTTAATCCTATAATTTCTCCTATTTAGTCAGAATCAAATTTTTAAGTTTTCCAATCATACACTCTTGGCCCTCGTCGACTTATAGGGCGCTTATAATTTTTTTCTAAGGCCATTCTTAAAGCTCTAATGTTCATTTTGAATCCAACATGAATATTTTTATCATAACATTTTGTTCAATTCTTGTTCACTTGTGATGCTGTTTTAAGATAAATTTCGGGCCACCTTCAAAGTTCCTCTGTTTATTTTGAATCAAACATTAAAGTTTTCCAACAATAAATTCCTGTTAGCCGTTATTGGTCCATGGTGCTCGTTTAGATATATATCATCTAAAAATTTCTTAAGAATTAATGACTCCTCTTCTAAACTCCAAAGAGTTATAGAGTTATTACGCAGTTCTATACATTTGAGGTCCACATATCACATCTTCGTCACAATTAGCTTTTGAAACACTGCAGGAACAAAGCAATTAAGAAATGGAAAGATAAAAAACAGCCAAGTTTCGTGCATCAGAAAGGAATCTTACTCTAACAAAAAATTAACAAAATACAATTTAGGGACAACAGCTGATCTATATAACTTTAGTCCTTTTCTCCACAGTCAAGTTTTTCTTGTTTCATCGTTTGATTTAACGCCAGCATAAATGCCATCAATTTCGTTTCGAAGGTCCGAGAATCATGTCTGCTTCATAGTTATTGCTTGAAACGATCTTTGATCTAGATGAAGAACAAAAAGATTAATGAAGATGTTATTCCATGGTTAATGAAAGCACGTTTCAAATAAATCGATATACAGCCAATCCATATTCTTTTAAGCAGAAATGTACGCAAGAGGTAAAACATTAAGAGAAACACGTTCGTGGCGGGTCTAGCGACTCCTTTCAGCAACCGGTTTTTAGTGTAATTTAACCCAAATAAGCATAAAGTTCTTCGAAATGGTTTCTAGAATGATTAATTTACAATTCCGAAAATGATGCAGGCACAATCTACCGTAACAATCCAGCTTCCTTTCAGTACAAAACCACGAAATGAGGTAGAAATTCGCCGTTCGCGGCGGGGGTCTAGCAGTAAGCAACCGGTTTTTAGTGCAATTTCATCAAATTAAGCATAAAGTCATTTGAAATGGTTTCTAGAATGATTTATTTACAATTCCCAAAATGCTCTCAAAAAGCTAGAAATAATTTTCACTCAAGGGGCAGGCAAATCCCATTTATGACAGCGGGAAATCGTAGAAAAAGTGAAATTTTAATCGAAAAATACTCACTTGTTGTACCAAAAAGACAGCAAATCCGATCGTTTATCTACAAAAAAGGAAGGCGGTTAGGAAAAGTTGCTGCAAAGGATTCTCGTTAGCCATAAAAAGTTGGGGGCTGGCGGGATTACGAAATTCGCATTACAACGGGTTTCCTATGAAAATCAAATTTTCTTGCATCAAGAAAAAACATCAGGAATAATCTACCACAATTCTTCATACTCTGATTGCAATAAAGCCAATCCAGTTTCCTTTTAGCACAAAACCACGAGAAGAGGTAAAAATTTTTCGTTCGCGGCGGGGGTCTAGCAGCCAAATGAGCAGAAAATCATGTCAAATAATAAATTTCGAAAACACGTAAGAACAACAACGCTTACTTGTATTCGCATGCCATCGATTCTGATGCCAGTGAAGAAGGGGAACAGCCAGCAGCCATCGCAAAACCAAAAAACGGCAGCATCGGGTGTACCGTACGTAACACCGTAGCACAGAACACGACCGTCGACAACCGCTTCGAGTTCGAAAAGGAATGCCAACCAGCAGTGCACGTAGATTTATTATCATCCAATTCCAAATCACCGAAATTATCGGCAGACAGTAGATTCTTTGTGTTAAAAACGAAACGGATTTGAAAAGCCTCCGTTGAAATTGAAGGGTTGCTGGAGGAAGAAGTTTTGAAATCTTTTGTAGTAGAGAGCAAGAGAAAAGAGAGAAAGAACCTTTAGAAAGGCGGGACAAAGACCACGGAGAGCACTAATCGAGACGTTGCATCCTCGGAGAAAACCGTGTAAATATCTGAGAAAGGAAAAAAACGATGAGAAAAAGCAGACCTGATGATGGTGCATCGGGGACGGAGGATTGAGAGGAAAAAAGAACTTTGAAAATCGGCCGAGCGGTTTTGGCTGCAAACCCGTACAATCGCGGGGCGGTGGGGATGGAGACGAACCCGGGAGAAAACCGTAAATATCTCAGGAACGGAAGCGAAAAGGAGAAAAAGGAGACCGTAGTATGGTGAACCGACGATCGAGGACGAAGGGAAAAAAAGAATTTTGAAAATCGGCCCAGCAGTTTTGGCTGGGCACCGTGTGAAACGCCGGGCGGTGGTAGAATCGCGGGGCGGTGTGGAGGTCTATTGTTCGGGCTCATTTGCATATTGGCATATTAGTATTAGTTAGACTGGGTGGACCGCCGGCCCGCGGCACGCCGAGCCAGTGGACCGCCGCCCGCGGCACGCCCACCCAGTGGACCGCCGGCCCCCGACACGCCAAGCCAGTGACCCGCAAACCCCCCCCCAAGCCGAGAAGCAAATTAGCAAAGAACCAACTAACGCCATGCCCAACACACAAACCCCCCCTCACACAAAACCCCAACACACACGGCTTTGCCCCCCGCAGAGGCGTGCCCCCCGCAAAGGCGTGACTCCCGCACAAAAGAGGCTCCCACCAAAAAGAGGCTGTGGGGTGCTCCCCCGCAGAGGCTGCGACAACCACGCCCTCTGCCATCACAAAATTTTTCCTCAAAAAAATGTGCAAAAAACACTCGCACTCCTGCAGAATTCAGCGCAAAAATCACTCGCGCTCCTACGCGATTTTTACTCCTGTCACAGGCGCTAGAGGGCGGGGAGGAGAGGGGAAAGAAAAGGTCCCCGCCCTCTAGCGCCTGTGACAGGAGTAAAAATCGCGTAGGAGCGCGAGTGATTTTTGCGCTGAATTCTGCAGGAGTGCGAGTGTTTTTTGCACATTTTTTTGAGGAAAAATTTTGTGATGGCAGAGGGCGTGGTTGTCGCAGCCTCTGCGGGGGAGCACCCACAGCCTCTTTTTGGTGGGAGCCTCTTTTGTGCGGGGTCACGCCTTTGCGGGGGGCACGCCTCTGCGGGGGGCGAAGCCGTGTGTGTTGGGGTTTTGTGTGAGGGGGGGTTTGTGTGTTGGGCATGGCGTTAGTTGGTTCTTTGCTAATTTGCTTCTCGGCTTGGGGGGGGGTTTGCGGGTCACTGGCTTGGCGTGTCGGGGGCCGGCGGTCCACTGGGTGGGCGTGCCGCGGGCGGCGGTCCACTGGCTCGGCGTGCCGCGGGCCGGCGGTCCACCCAGAGCCCGCTTTGGCGGGCTCTCCATGAAGGGAAAAAAGTTTCGGGTATAGGGGCTTGCAAGAACCCGCCTTGGCGGGTTCTCCAAGAAAAGCTAGTCTTCCTTCCATAAAAAGGCAAAAAATATCAATAACTATAAATAAGGACGTAGTTCAAAAGTTTAATTTATTGAGATGTATTTGGGCAAGGATCAAATGTTCTACTGTATGTGTTGAAGTGTATCGTATTTGGAAGTGACGATTTTCAAATGTAGGGAGAGTCTCTTGCAATTAAAATAATATTTATATTTGAGACGATATTTGGTTTCATAAAACTTATATGCTGTAATAGTTTCCGATTTCCTAATAAAGGAGGGGGAATTTTGGTTACTTCTATTGCCACTATGTTTCTTTCAAAGGGTGTTTGAAGTAGTTTTGGAAATTGGAAGTGAGTTTAAAAATGCCCATTAAAAAAGGCTGTATCTTTTGATTAAAAAAAAATGAATAGGTTATAATGCAGTCATTGTTTTGAATATAAAATAATCGGAGTTTCGTGTGGACCGTATGGGCCGCGCATGTGTTATTTGATGCAATTAAGCTGTACCCTAAAAAAACTACGGGATACTGGATACATTAGATTCAAGAAAATTTCTATGCTTCGTCAGCGCAGCCTAACTATTGGGTTAAATGTGGGAGGCTTATTACTGTACGGATTATAAGTAGGTGAATGTTCAAAGCCTTAATCTAATAATGAATTTTGGCAAATAGCTGTAATTGAGACGTTGTTAATGAGCAATTGATTGACATGTCTCTAGTGAGCCAAGTGCCCAGATATCTAGACCTAAGGTCATTCACTGGAAGGGCCTGGGTAGCAATGTTTCCTCATGTATAATGAGCAATATTAAATGTAACGGCTTTGTCTGTGCCACGTGCCCAGATATCTGGACCTAATATCATTCACTGCAAGGGCCTGGGTTGCATTGTTTCCTCATGTATAATGAGCAATAATAAATATAATGGCTCTGTCTGTGCCAAGTGCCCAGATATCTGGACCTAATGCCATTCACTGCAAGGGCCTGGGTTGCATTGTTTCCTCATGTATAATGAGCAATAATAAATATAATGGCTCTGTCTGTGCCTAGTGCCCAGATATCCATACCTAAGGTCATTCACTGCAAGGGACTGAGTAGCATTGTTTCCTTATTCATAATGAGCAATAAGAGATATGATAATTCAGTCTGTGGCAAGTGCCCAGATATCTGGACCTAATGTTATTTACTGCAACGGCCTTGGTACCATTGTTTGGTCATTTATAATGAGCAATAATAAATATAACGGCTTTGACTATGCCAAGTGCCCAGGTATCTGAACCAAACATAATTAAGTGCGACTCGCTGTTGAGCATTGCTTCGTCCTCAAAACGAATTTCGAATTCAACCGGCACTGCTTTGATGGTACATCGTTTCTATCGAAAGTGTGGTCCGGGTAGCCTAGCCAAATTATCCTTTTTAATGTTGCAGGCACGTTACTGTACCTATATGCATCAAGCAAGACTTAATTAATTAATCAACTTGCCAAAAAAGCAATTTCGAAACCATGCCAAATACGTCCTTCACAAATGCACTCGATACAGGGCAATCATAGGGGAGCCACCTTCATTTGCAAGCTTATGGCCCCTTGGCTCGAATTAAGGACCTTTCTATGAGTGGATATCGCCCTTCTTTCTAAAAGGGAACGTGAATAGCTTAAAGAGCCGTTACGTATCAAAGTAAACATAATCATCATCCCATATCACGAATAAAATTTTTTTGAAGATAAGCTGTCATTTTCTTTTGGAAACGACTAAGGGCGATTTTTGCTTCATGGAAATGCCGTCTATTAATTTTTTATGCTCAAAACAACGGCGGGGCAAGCTATGACGCAGCAAGTTTAGAAAATCGAAAAGGTTCTGTTTCCACGGTGGAGCTTTGCAGAAGGAACGATTAATGCGTACCTAACTATCGCTAACGACCCGCACTGACAATCAAGTTGACGCTTAATGATCTCGCCTCAATTCTATAGTTTGATAACGAAGGGAAACATCCTTCATGCTTTGGAATCAAACAAAACGAAATTGAAAAGATAGGCTTCCAATTTGTTTTTGAAACGAATAAGAATGTTTTTTCGAACATAAAAATGCTGTCAACAGATTTATAATGCGTAAGACAACGGCGGGGAAAGCTATGACGCAGCAAGTTTAGCGAATCAAAAAAGTTGGCTTTCCACCTTGGAGCTTTGCAGAAGGAAAGGTCAATGAGTACCTAAGTACCGCTAACGACCCGCACTGACAATCAAGTTGGCGCTTAATGATCTCGCGTCGATGCTATAGTTTTATTACAAAGGGAAACATCCTGAATCGTCCGCAACCAAAACAAACTTTTTTGTAAACTTTGATTTTCGAAAAACTCGGCATTTTTACGCCCGTGTTGACTTCAAACGTATGTTTTGGAATGCTCAGTGTCCCACCTCGTAATTCCTAATCGTGTTTCGTCTGTCTTTGGTCAATCAATGTATTTTGTTCCTTTGAAAAAATTTCGATGCTTTGCTTGTTGTGGTAATGCTTTGATGACGCCATATTGAAAATGGCGTCTTTCATGGCGACCTCAGTTGGAAATTCGCTTTCTCGTCCGATGGTGTTCATTTTCGTCTAGGGGCCCCTTCACAATCTAAAGGGGTTGACACTTATTTTTTGATTTCCTGAAACGTTATCAATTGGCTGTTCTATTTGTGCTGAGTGCATGTGAATAGGGAATTCTTGTTGATTTTTGTGGGCGGAGCGGCCAATTGTTTGCAGTGTATTCCAGGGTCGCGGGGCCCGTACCCCCGCGACCCCGTACTCGGCTCGGACAGGATGATTTGGTTAGCTTTGCAAAAATGGACACGTGATGAAAAAGTACAGCTCAATTTGAGCATGATAACCATGAGCGCTCAGTTTAGACAATGAGATCGCATTCTTAGCATCGATAACGATCAAATTTCGACCAATCACGGTCGAGCCAGAGCTCGAACACAAAGGATTCGTACAGTGATGTACTGTACAGCGATGTACAGGCGATGATCATGACAATCATAACTTTTGCTCGCACGGTCTCGAGTTTTTGGGAGAAAGGTGTCGCATTCGACCGGTTTTGATTCCGAAAATTTCGAATCGAAACTTCCATCCAGAAGGGAGAAGCGAGCCGTGACGCAGCACCGTTTTCGTGCCAAAAAAATCGACGGTGATTAGCAGAGCCTTGGCAGAGCAACTCTGCGGAGATGATTGCCCTCGGCACAAAGAGGTGGCGGTTAACGACCTCGCTGACAAAGCCTAACACGCTTAACGACCCGATGTAACCTTTTCTCCGGAGAGGCAATTAGGTCCGCAAGCAAGGCAACTTCCGCCGAAAAAAAGTTTGTTTCGAGGATTTTCGAGCAG